CATCGAGGAGGAATGTACGTTAAGCTTCCGTTTCGCACGAACAATGTTGTTAACGTAAATAACGGTGAATTGAACGATTGTTTCCTGTATGCAATGTTGGTAAAGTCTCTTTCAGTGGAAGAGAAAAATAAAAAACGCCTGGAAAAATATTTAGACCTGTTAAATCGTTACGATTTCTCGGACGTTCGATTCCCCACGAGCATAGATGACATTGTCAAATTCAAGAAAAGGAACAACGTATCGGTTTCGGTATTTGAGCTCCGTGAGAGTTTGGTGTCCAACAAGAAAAAGTATTCAGTTTACCCCATCAGGGAGTACCCCATTACAATCTCTAATTAGAATTTTTTATGCTTTTTGAATTTTTTTTTTTTCAAAGTTCTTAATAATTACCTCAGGCACATCGTATTGTTAGGTTAAAGACCGTGGGCCAGCAAGGGGTAACCCTCCTCCCCCCCCCCCCGGTGGCAATTTTGAAGATGGTGATTTTCTTGAAGCTCTCGACTAGTCGAAAAAGACTTTTCTTGTTTACTCTAATTCTATCGTGGTGGGGGGTAGTAGGCCCCCCTAAACCCCCCAAAATTGCTCAGAATTCCGACTTCACCGCGATTACCCATTTTTCTCGAAAAGGCTTGATTTTAGGGCGAAACTTCTCATAACCATTCTGAAAGCTCGTGAAATTTTGGTGTAGACAAGTTTTAAGTGACTTTGGCCATTATCCGCGGTCCTCCAAAATGGGGGGGGGNGGGGGGGGGGGGGGGGGGGGCTTAAAATGTCAGAATATCTCAAATTTCCGCGAAAATGACCGTTTCGCCACGATTTCTCGCCAATAACGCGGAGAAGGTTGGTTATATCGTAAATTTGTTCATCCCTAAAATGATAGAGCATTAATTTTTCATTCGAGGGGCGGCCTAACCCCTCTTGGGGGGGGGGGAAGGGGGCCCCTAGGGTGCGTCTAAAAAATTGAAAGTCTGAAACGTTCCGCTTCCCAGGCGGCAATCGATGACGTTTGGTAAAAAAACATGTTTGCCAAAATTTGGGCCAATTTCAACCATTTTAAATGGTGCCAAAGGTCAATTTTGTGATGAAATTATGATATTTTGGTTTAGACCTCGAATTCGTACAAAAAACTCGATTTTACGCTGAAATCGTGCGTTTACGAGAAAAATGCCAAAGAACTCAAGCTGTAGAGGATGAAATTTTACTCCAGAAAGACGTCCTTTTAAACGATAAAAATCAAATTGAACTAGAAAAACTCAACTCGGTATTTATTTTTTTGGTCCTCAGAATTTCCGAGGTCTTACAAAGTAGCGGTTCAAAAGACTCATTTTTCACGAAGATAAGTCAAAAGAGGGTATAAATGAACTGTAGGCAAGTGTTGAGGATGCAAATGTCATCAGAACTTCCTCAGTTTCAAAAAAAGTTCCAACTATTTTGCACAATCCTCCAAAAAGTGTACGGCTCGAGAAGCAGGATCGTGCCATAATAGTATGGGAGAAGTGCGGTTTGACCGGGAAAAATTGCGTGACAAACTTTCCCTAAGTAATCGTCATCAGTAGGTCCCCCTGAACAACTTCCTAAAAGTTAAAAATGGCCCGACCCCGGAACACCCCTCTAAGTACCTAAAATTCAAAATGGCGGCCGTAAAAAGGGGTCCGACAAATCGGTATTTTAAAATGTTCATTCTGTGTCATGTGAGGTGTCATTTCCTATGTAATTTTGGTTGTAGATTACATAAATGAACTCAACAAGGCCCTCCGATCAAAGGGGGCGCTCCAAATCAAAGATGGCGGCCAAATTTGAAAGGCAGGAGGTTGCATTTTTTTAAATATTCACTGAAGAAAGAAGGCAAGCGCGAGGGGTCTCCATTTCTTTGTAAATTTAGTCGTAAACTTCATTAATGAAGGCATAACCCCCCTGCCCGATCAAGAGGAGCGCCCCAAATCTAAGATTAAGTAGTTTATGATGTGTCCAGTAAGAAGAAATTGATGGAAGAAAACAGGATAAATCATGTGTGCAGGGATTGCTAAAGAGGGGAGAACACGCACGAGAATTGGAAGACAGTATGTGTTGACACATTTACACATTCACTCATGAAAGTGCAAACACGCTTCTGAGCTTACATCCCTCTTCGTAGTCCTATGTTCCTTTTAATTTCCTTTATTGACTACATTTTTAGCATAAAATTTAGGTCCCTCAGCCAAAAATACATGAATATAGAGACACCTCACTTTCCTTGTTCCTTACGTGAATATTTAAAAAAATGCAACCTCCTGCCTTTCAAATTTGGCCGCCATCTTTGATTTGGAGCGCCCCCTTTGATCGGAGGGCCTTGTTGAGTTCATTTATGTAATCTACAACCAAAATTACATAGGAAATGACACCTCACATGACACAGAATGAACATTTTAAAATACCGATTTGTCGGACCCCTTTTTACGGCCGCCATTTTGAATTTTAGGTACTTAGAGGGGTGTTCCGGGGTCGGGCCATTTTTAACTTTTAGGAAGTTGTTCAGGGGGACCTACTGATGACGATTACTTAGGGAAAGTTTGTCACGCAATTTTTCCCGGTCAAACCGCACTTCTCCCATACTATTATGGCACGATCCTGCTTCTCGAGCCGTACACTTTTTGGAGGATTGTGCAAAATAGTTGGAACTTTTTTTGAAACTGAGGAAGTTCTGATGACATTTGCATCCTCAACACTTGCCTACAGTTCATTTATACCCTCTTTTGACTTATCTTCGTGAAAAATGAGTCTTTTGAACCGCTACTTTGTAAGACCTCGGAAATTCTGAGGACCAAAAAAATAAATACCGAGTTGAGTTTTTCTAGTTCAATTTGATTTTTATCGTTTAAAAGGACGTCTTTCTGGAGTAAAATTTCATCCTCTACAGCTTGAGTTCTTTGGCATTTTTCTCGTAAACGCACGATTTCAGCGTAAAATCGAGTTTTTTGTACGAATTCGAGGTCTAAACCAAAATATCATAATTTCATCACAAAATTGACCTTTGGCACCATTTAAAATGGTTGAAATTGGCCCAAACTTTGGCAAACATGTTTTTTTACCAAACGTCATCGATTGCCACCTGGGGAGCGGAACATTTCAGACTTTCAATTTTTTAGACGCACCCTAGGGGGCCCCCCAGCAGTACCCACCCTATAAAAACCGTCAAGGTTGGCCGCTTCCTTGAAGTAGCGTTATGCGCGAGAATGGGCGGCAAGATGAAAACAAGTGGCGTTTGCTCTGAGAGAACATCAGTGTGACTTCTTGTGGGAGGTGACAGGGGGGATGGAGGTACATCCTCCTCCCTCCCCCTTCCCCCCCATAAAAAAAATAATCACAGAAAACGTTAATTAAACGCGAAAATTCTACTTTGTAAGATGACTTTCAGGGCTTGTCATTGACACGCTTACACTACCATAATTTAACGGGGGGGGGGGAGGGTGGTGGTGGTTTATCCTCCCCCTCCTCTTTCACCCCCTCCCCCTCCCCCAAATTAATAATCACGAAAAAATTTAAATAAACGCGAAAATTACATACTCTAAAAGGCGACTTTCAGGGCGTGTTATTATCACGCTCACACTAATATAATTTAATGAGGGGAGGGGGGGCGTCAGACATCTTAGCTTCCCCAGCCAACATTAAAAAAGGGTGGGAGAGGGGTAATTTAAAAACGTTACTCGCTTAATTATAGGAGGGACGGGGAAACCTAGCTGCATTAGGAGAATTTTAAGATTTGAGGGATACGTAATTAAATCAGGGAACGTAGAGATACTATTTTATTTTTTGGAAAGTACTGAAGCTGAGGGGAGTTTATTCATAATTGATGGAAATGTACATTCTTAATCTTTTGTCAACATTTTTGAAATGTTCGTAGAATAGGCTCAAAGTGTTTTGGATCGTTTGCCGAAGTATTCAATCATTCATTTCGTCACAGGCAGATACTGCAGTGGTAAATCTATCAAAAACATTCAGCGATAAGGGGGACTAGGGGATACTTTTTCATTAAAGGACCCCGGGGGTCATCATTTTAGGGATAATCAATTTTACGATATCACCAACCCTCTCCGCGTTATTAGCGAGAAATCGTGGCGAAACGGTCATTTTCGCGGAAATTTGATATATTTTGACATTTTAAGCCAGCCCCCCCCCCCCCCATTTTGGAGGACCGTGGGTAATGGCCAAAGCCACTTACAACTTTTCTAGACCAAAATTTCACAAGCTTTCATCATGGTTCAGAATGGTAAAGTTTTGCCCTAAAATCAAGCCTTTTCGAGAAAAATGGGTAATCTCGGTAAAGTCGGAATTCTGAGCAATTTTGGGGGGTTTAGGGGGGCCTACTACCCCCCGCCACGATAGAATTAGAGTAAACAAGAAAAGTCTTTTTCTACTAGTCGAGAGCTTCAAGAAAATCGCCATCTTCAAAATTCCCATGGGGGGAGGGGGAGGGTTACCCCTTGCTGGCTCACGGTCTAGGTTACCAGTTGGAATTTTTCATCTGAAATTATATAAATGTAGTGTCATTCTTGTTTCGTTGGTTGATACCAATGCAGATTTTTCGATCAAATTGGCGGTGGAGTCGGATACCGAAATTTCGCCGTAACAGACTAACGGCACTTCATAACAGACCCTATCCATCATTTTTTTTCTTAGTCTGTAATAGCCACCTGTTTTAACCAATAGGATCGCTCAATTTTCCTTTTGTCTATCAATTCCGATCATCAGTCTGCTGGACTGGTCTTTATAACCTGTCTGGTCTTGATGACCGAAAAAATGCCCATTCATATAATGACCACTAGTGGCAGGGAACATGCAACACTGACGTACCCTGAACCATTCTAAATTCTTTGATCATTACTTACAGTAATTGCAAGAATAATTACAGACAATCTTGAAAGTCTCGAGTTTTTTTTTTCATTTTTTTTTAACAGAGTTCAACAAATCTTATAATGCATATGTACCAATTTTCATAACTCTCAGAATGATTTTTTTTCAAGGGTCACAAAACCACGCAAGCTGAGTAATCCACCACCTCTAATTCAACTTCAGAAAATGCGGACATTGTTTAACACTATCAAAGAGTACAAAGATCCCAGAAATCGCCAACTGTCCGTAATTTTCAATAGACTACCCTCAAGAAATGTAAGTGCTTACTTTCTATTTTTCTTTTCTACCTGCCCTTTTTCTTCCTCCCATTCCCCTAAACAATTTAATTGAATGAAAAGGGAAAAAAATTTAACTCATGATTTACAAATGAATCAAGTAAGTTTATTTATCGGTTCTTCTTTTTGAGTCCTAATTTTCCCCTGATGGCGTAATTTTTCAAACAAATATTTGGAAATCTCTCAAAATGAACAACAAAATTATTAAAATGAAAGTGAAAAGTAAGAAAGTTTTTTTCGTAATTTTCTATTGTCTTCACCATTTTTGAGTCAGTGAATGCTCAGCCAACTCCTGTTTAGTCGAATGCTGTGTGAGAAAATTTGTTGGCTATGTTAAACTTTTGCATTGTCCTATTGAGTTCATACAAGGCTAATGTCAATGATGCAGGTCAGTCTTGATTTGGGAGCAATCACATCAAGTATTATTTTCCAAATAGCATCTGTGTAACTCAAGCAGATGTCCTTAAAGGTTCTGTTTTTCGTCCCCTTAGTCCTCAACTATTTTGACCAAATTATTATGTAACACGAAATTTTTATGAGCTCTATGTCAGATTTGTCTTAAGCGGCGAAATAATGAACTCCAACAGCCGTTTGAGACTTCATTTTCCTCAGCTCTCAGGCAATTTGACTTACTGAACTTCAACTGTATTACTACTTTCCCCATAATTTTGCTTCTCTTATTTGGCTTGCTTCTCCTTTCTTTTCAATGTAGGATTATCCTGACTATTATGAAGTCATCAAGAAACCCATGAATTTGGAAATCATTTCACAGAAGTTACGAAGCAACACATATGATGGATTGGATGATTTAGTCGCTGACTTGACTTTGATGTTTGATAATGCTTGCAAATACAATGAGCCAGATTCTCAAATCTACAAGGTATGTATCTTCATAATGGTTGCTATATCTTTAGTTAGTACAACTGAGAGATAGTGAGTTGAATTTATTCTTCTTCTGATATCTGTGGTACCGTTACACAGGGAAGAGCATCGTCATTTTGTGGCAAATTAGGTATTAAGTTGAGATTTTAAAAGCCTCCCTGTTCTAATAAAATCATTTTTATGACATTATGATGGACAGGGTGAGGAAGGAGAGTTCAAAGTCTGTTAGTGGGAAACTATCACATGACGTGCACAAACCAATCCTCCTCACTCCAGGTGAGAGATATCAGTGGAGAGGAGTTGGGCCGGCGCGGCAGCAGGAACCATTACCCTCCTAACTGCGATCAATTGAACTGATTCAGTTTAGTCGATTGCTCTCAAAAGCTAAGATCATTGCCTGCTGCTGTTTCCCCTTGCGTCGTTGTTGACTCTAGCTTCCGTCCTCTGTTTCTCTTTATTCCCTTCATTGTTGGCTTGCGTCCTCTGTTTCTCATTATCTTATTTGGGTTTCCCTTGTTTTTTTAATTCTTCATAATACTGTGGTTTTTTTATTTTGAGTTTTCTTAGTAGGTTAAGAGTAGTCGATATCAATTTGGTTCATTTAATTTTTTTTTTTTTGCTTTAAGTTGTTGATGAGGTATTTTTTTTTTGTTTTTGCGCAAAAAAGTGGGTGAAGATTGCTCGTTTATTTAGGCTAGGTTTCCTTTCGCCTCTCTATGGGCAAACCTTGTCCCCAGCAACTAAGAAAAACTTCCCATGGACGCGAGATGTTAGAGGAAGCGTCTATAATGTCAGCTATATGTTCTCAAAAGAGTGGATTTCACAATCAGACTTCTTTTATTTGCCCGTCGTGGTTTTTGTGTGATTTTATTATTACTCAAAGTTCACTTATGCGGGTGTAACTCTTATAAAGAACAGATCTATGCAGGTATTTTGAGTCTTCAAAGAGGATGAAATCTTTTTTTTTTTCCCCCCCCCCCCCCGACAGGACGCTTTGATGTTGCAAAGAGTGACCTTGCAGACAAAACTAGCTCTGCGTGAAGATGAAGACACTGTCCCAGATGTACGTGCTGCAGTTCAAGAGTTACTGACGTCACTCTTCACAGCAGTTTATAATCATCAAGATGAAGAGGGCAGATGTTTTTCAGACTCGTTTGCAGAATTGCCAGAACACGATGAAGTTGATGGAAAAAAGTGAGTAAAGTTGTCCTCTTTGCCTCTTCTCCTTTTGAATTTTGTGGTCGAGAATCAGCACACACCAATTCATGTGGAGTACATTGTTCAAAGTAGCACCTATATTTACATCCAAAACTAAGTAAGCTTAGAATTGTGCATGAAAAGATGATGTATTTCTAAAGTGTCTTCAAAAGTATATTTTACACCAAAAGAATTTGGAAAACCATGTTAATTTTTATGATCATCAAAACGTTAAAAAATGTTCTACAAATAATATTTAAATCTTTTAATTCCGATGTAAACTAGGCCAACCCTGAAAGTAAATTAACACGGCTCGTCTGAACCAACTTTAAATGAAAAGTCGATGACCATAAAAAGTCTCTTCGGGAGCTTGAAGTGGGATGCAAGTACTGTCATTTAAGCTAAAAACGAAAATAATCTGTCGCGCTCTTCGAAAATAAAAGCGAATTTTATGTTGACATGCGTGGTTTTTTCAAAAAATTAAGTTTCCCTAATTTTCGGGGAGGATAATAGCGACCATAAAATTTAATAATACAACATTATATTGCTCTACAAGATTTTAACTTTCTAACGAGCTATAGATTTTTATTTTTGGACCACTGGTTTGCGAGATAATCGATTTTTACCGAGACAACTCCATTTTGCTGCGGGTTCACCGACGTCGGTGGACCCTAGAGTGTCGCCACATTAAGGGTCACCTCTAAATTTTGATGATGGTACCCTCTAAATCGTTGACCCCACTCATAAAAATAAGATTTCAAAAAAGAAAAAAATTCTAAACATTATTATAAGGGTTGCACAAGGCCAAAAACCACCCCCCGGCCTTGGGCCAAATTCTGCATTTTGCCCATTTTGATGAATTTTTTCAGAACATTAGAACTGAGCTAGAGCCTCAAAAATTTCACAGTAAGAGCATATGTTAGGGTTTTTTAATGAAATATTATTGTTGACATCATTATGTGTTCCAGTTTTTTGCTCTAAACCCTCAAAACTGGCTAAAAACTCAAGAATTTCAAGATTTTGTATTTTTGTCGTATGACGATTCTTTCGGCTGACAAAGATAAGTTAAACATGAAACGTGCGATTAATTGCATTTTGATACTTATTTTGACCAAAATTCACACTTCACTTTATTTACCCCTCCCCCCCCCCTTATTTTTAACTATAAATCAGCGGTTCCTAAGTTGCGATAGGTGAATGGGATTTTTTTTTTACTTTTTTTTCCATTAAAGATTATATTTTTATTCATGTTCTCCCATATTTCATAAGTAAGTACCACTTTTATGAAACATTACGTCGACATTTAAAATGTAAGAATATGAATAAAAATATAATCTTTAATGGAAAAAATAAAAAAAATCTCATGCACCTATCGCGACTTAGGAACCGCTGAATTTACGGTTAAAAATAAGGGGGGGGGGAAGAAATGCAGAATTTGGTCCAAGGCCGGGGGATGGTTTTTGGCCTTGTGCAACCCTTATAATAATGTTTAGAATTTTTTTCTTTTTTGAAATCTTATTTTTATAAGTGGGGTCAACGATTTAGAGGGTACCATCATCAAAATCTAGAGGTGACCCTCAATGTGGGACACCCTAGGGTCCACCGACGTCGGTGAACCAATTGGGTCTCCTTTGGAAGTCTCTGTAATTTCTGAACTCAGCGACGCTCAAGAGTCCCTAAAAATTCATCATGCACGGTTTGAACATTCAATCTTATTTAATAACAGTCAAATTCGGCTTTCGGCGCGCGAAAATCGGTCGGCGCGCGTTGAGCAGAAACTTCAATCGCTCGTAACTCCGGAACCGTTTGGTGTTTTGGGGGATTTTGATCTTTGAAATCATGGAGTATGCAATTTTAGACCATTTTTCGTTCAAACCGGACCCAGATATCTTTCTTTGTTCGAGATATATCGAGGTTCTCAGGTTTTGCCTTCCACCTCCCCCCCCCCCCTTGCGCCCCCAAAGTTTTTTGGGGGTCTGAAAATTTGGGAAAAGAAGCGTTCAAGTATGAGTAACCAATAGACAAAGTCTGAAGAAATTCCAGAGGGAGGGCGAAAAAGCCGTTTTTGCATCTAGCTATTCGTCCCATTATGATCATAGTTAAATTACAAAAAGAAATAAAAAAAATAAGTATTTCATGTAATTTCATCGTCAGAAGAGCTGATTGATCAGTGAGGTCCATTACCAGTTGTCTGTAGCAAAAATTTGCGTCTGTTGCACTCAGCGACGCAATTTGAATTAGAGAAGCTCTCAGACTTTCGTAATAATGTACAAACTAAAGTTTGATTGTTTTTTTTTTTTGTTTTTTTTTTTTTTGTCCCATGCACAGATCCCGTGTTTATTGTGATTGTTAGTCTGTAGAATTGTATGTCGTATTTTCAAGATACTCCAACATTTTTTTTTTTCTTTTTTAGAGTCAGAGCTTTATCATTAGATCTGATAAAGCGCCGGCTGGATGGTGGAAATTATAGACGTTTGGACATGTTCCAGGAAGATTTGTTTTCTTGTTTCGAAAGAGCGCGCAAACTCTCCCGAACTGACTCTCAGGTTTTTGAAGATTCTGTTGAATTGCAATCTTTCTTCATACGGCAACGGTTCGTTCTCACACACTTCTAATTATAGTATAAACATACATTATAATTTTAATTAATTCCTAGTTAATTGTGTTAATCTTAGTTATCCATAATATTAAGTGTGTTCAATAATTGGACCGTGTTTAACAGAAAGGAACCAAGCCACATTAGCTTTTAACTGGGCGATTTAGTTTTTTACTTCAGAACGTTTGTGCGGATCCCTTTGAAAATTTTTAGGAATTTTCTTCTCGCTACGGGGGAAATTCACTGAAATTTGCACAAAAATCCGCACAACCGTTTTTATGTATTAAATTAAATTGGCCAATTAAATTTGGCAATAGCTAATGTGGCTTGGTTCCTTTTTGTTATTCGCAGTCCAATTATAAGATAGATAATATAAGAAGATATATTTAATTTCAAAATGTAAAGCATAAAAGAAAAGACAACATTATTCTGCCCGATCAGACGTAAAAATAAATACGGTGACATAAATTAAAATTAGAGTAAGACACAATTGAATAAGTGAGTTCAAAAACACCAACTTGGAAAAAAAAAAATTGTTTAGGAAACACCTAAAATTGCGTAGTGGGCGAAGAAGTTAGTTTAAGAAAAACCTTTTTGGTGCCAAAGGACAATTACTTAGAGACTTTGTAAAGCACCAAGTTGAAATCATTACACCATGTTTAATGACAGAGAGTTAAGCGTTTAAAAATTTCTGGTGTTTTTTCATTCTCCTCAACTTTTAGATACTGATTTTTCCCTGTAACTTTTTTCCTAATCGAGATAGAATTTTGAAACTTTGGGGATGTTCCTCGGTTAAAGGTAGCAACTTTTTGATCCCCTCAAATAGGCATATATATATATATATACACACACATACCCAGACCTACTGTACCAGGCCTTTTTTCGGCTAATTTGCGTCGCACGAAATCCAAGATCGCGGGAATGAATAGCGAATCGACCCTAAGGAATCGGGATTTCATGGTCCCAGAGCCCCCCTGGTCCACACCATTTCGCGGGGAAAACAAAGCCAAGAGGTTCCAAAAATTATAATTAGAGTCAAAATTAAATTTTTGAACTCTAATGCATACCAGTACGAAACTGAGGGGGGAGAGTGTTCAGCTCAGGCAGTTTACATTGGAATTTTTAGTTGGAGTCTTGCTGAGAGATCTATACCGATTTGAGTCTTTTTAGACCTCATCAGCATATCACACTCGGCAGTGAACCCAACTTAATATGCCGCAAAATCCAAGACGGCATTCAAACGCCGTCAAGGATATGACCCGAGGCATGACACAAAAGTGTAATCCTCACGCCATCTACCGTCGTTGCAGAACAACTCTCATAACAAAACAAGTAAAACCAGAAAAAATGAACCGGCCGTTTTTGTGTCATGCCTCTGGTCATATCCTTGACAGAGTTTTAATGCTGTCTTGGATTTTGCGGCATATTAAGTTGGGTTCACTGCTGAGTGTGATCTACTGATGAGGTCTAGAAAGACCCAAAACGGTTTAGATCTCTCGGCGTGACTCCAACTTAAAATGCCAATGCAAACTGCCTGAGCTGAACACTCCCCCCCCCCNCCCCTCAGTTTCGGAAAGGTACGGATTAGAGTTCAAAAAAATTTAATTTTGACTCAAATTATAATTTTTTGAACTTCTTGGCTTTGTTTTCCCCGCGAATTAGTGTGGACCCGGCATCATTACTTTACATACACACACACACACACACACATATATATATATATATATATATATATATATATATATATATATATACATACACACACACACACTTATCTGTAACAATAGCGGATGTCGAGATTTCACATTGTGAGAAAATCGCGTTTGAAGTTTTTGAAGCTTTACACTTTTCCGCTTGTAGAACCGAGAGGATTCTCATAATAATTTTCATGAAGAGTAACTCTTCCCGTAAAACCCACACGTTTTACGATCTATGTAAGCGAAAAAATGAAGGGGTAACAGCGATTTGAAAAAAATGTGACATCCGCTATTTTTACTGAAAACACTTCTTTATGCATGAAACAAAGTCTTCAGGAAGGGTAAAGCTGGTGAAACGATTGAAATGAACTAAAAGTTAGTCAATGCTGAGTCATTTAACAAAATTGATCAAGAAACTAAACCGTTTGTAACTTTTACAGCAAAAACAAGGAACAAATTCTTAAATTAGTTAAAAATTCAACAATTTTGGCGAGACGGTCCCGATACGTATAATTTTAGTGTCGTCAGCATGTTTGCGATACATTTTTTGGTAGATGATATCTAGCAAATTGAATTACGGTCCGTGAAAGAGCGCGAAAAATCAGGATCACAAAGTACAGCACAAAATTTTCTAAGACAATCGAAAATTTATAAGACAATCAAATTTGTAATGTATATTAAAATGAAAAATGTAGTGTGCATTATAATGAAAAGTATGATGTATATTACAACCAAAATTATAACACTTATTTTAATTAACATATAATATATATTTTAATCAATATTATAATACTTTTTATAATTTGAAGTATAACGACATATTATAACTATCCCAACATACAACGCTTTAGCTAATTTTATAATTCATAATATCAAAGTCAATACACTATACAGGGTTATCCAAAAGTCACCTACCACCCCTGTAACTTTTTTTGTAATTGAGATAGAAGTTTGAAACTTTGGGGATGTTCCTCGGTTTAAGGTAGCAACTTTTTGGTCCCCCAAAATTTTGGGGGGCGTCCCTCCTTAAGGGGGGCGGGGGCTAACTTTTTTTTTCAAATGGCAACCCCGCTTTTGTGATACCTCATTCAAAAGATAATTACAAAAGAAAATTTTTGGCGCAAACCGCAGGTCAAAATGTTGATATTTGACAAAACGGCGGAAATTTGGCATCTCCATTTTTATCGGCGGCTTGGTCTGAAACTCAGAATCCCAGGGTTTTTCGGGACGAGAAAAATGATTCTGGCATTAGTTTTCCAGAAATGTCAGTCCTTTTCAAAATGGCGGCGGTTAAAATGGCGGCTTAGAGCGGGAAGTGGATATTTAGGCTGCTTATCGTCGGATTTGTATGAGACTTGGTATCCGCGGGTGTTTCGGCACGAGAAGAACGAATCTTTCATTGGATTTTCGAAATTTTTAAAAACTTTAAAATGGCGGCGGAAAAATGGCGGAAAATCCATATCAAGGCTGTATACCGATGGATTTGCACAAAAGTCAATATGCTGATGATTTTTGGCTCGAAAAAAATTAATCTTTCATTAGATTTTTGAAACACTGAATATCGTCCAAATGGTAGCGGAAAAATAACGGAAAATCCGCATCCACCATCGCCATTCGCATTTTTGCCGCCATTTTAAAGTTTTTAAAAATTTCAAAAATCCAATGAAAGATTCGTTCTGCTCGTGCCGAAATACCACCGGATACCAAGTCTCACACAAATTCGACAATAAGTAGCCTAAATATCTACCTCCCGCTCTAAGCCGCCATTTTAAAAAGGACTGATATTTCTGGAAAACTAATGCCAGAATCGTTTTTCTCGTCCCGAAAACCCTAGAATTTTGGGTTTCAGACCAATCCGCCGATAAAAAACGGAGATGTCAAATTTCCGCCATTTTGAACTTTGACCGGCCGCCATCTTGTCAAAAATCAACATTTTGGCCTGCGGTTTGCGCCAAAAATGTTCTTTTTATTATCTTTCGAATGAGGTATCACAAAGGGGGGGTTGCCATTTGAGAAAAAAAAGTTAGCCCCCATCACCCTCAAGGGGGGCTGTCCCCAAAATTTTGGGGGGACCAAAAAGTTGCTACCTTCAACCGAGGAACATCCCCAAAGTTTCAAAATTCTATCTCAATTAGGAAAAAAGTTACAGGGGTGGTAGGTGACTTTTGGATAACCCTGTATATAATTTCAGCTAATATCATAGCAAAGAATATCTAAAATAATAACAGAACACATACTTATATAATTCGTACCATGCGTTATATTTTCGTGTTTATTAGTAATTGGTACATTAGCTTGAATAACAAAACGGTCGAATACAAGTCGAAGTCAGCTTTATACGAAATGACCTAATATAATAACGATTATCATATTATATGATATTATAAGTAATATGCAATTTTTTTTGTATCTGCAATTTTATTAATATCAAAGCATATAATATTTAAAATTATATCCCAGCATATAATATCATATTATGCAATATTATAATTAATATAACATATAATATTATAATTGAAATCTCAATATACAATATCATAATTAATATCATAACATAAAATATTACAATTACTATCATAACATTAATATTACAATTAACATCATGGCATATAATATTACAATTAATATCATGACTTATAATATTATAGAGTAATATACCGGAAAAAAATTATAACCTAAAGTAATTGAACTTTTGACATACCTGAATAACCTTTAAATAATACTTCTCACTTTTTGAAAGATTTGTTTTTATTTTCTTTTAAAGCGATGAGCTGTGTCGAAATGGTGACTTGCTACACTCTCCGGCATTGAACTATTCTCTTTTGGATTTATCAACAGCAGTTGATATAGTGCGCCAAGAAAAATTGATCGAAGAACAGCCAGAAGAGGAGTCAAAACCTCACGATGACTCTGCCTCAAGGGTAAATTTCGTGGGTACATTTACTTTTGACTCTTGCGCTTGCCTCATTGATTTTTAATCCACTGAGAACCAAGGAAAAGATTGTATTCCCATAAAATCGTTTTCTTTCTGTTTCCATAATCTCTTTCGCCTCTTTTGGTATAGTGGTTGTAGTGCTGATCCTATGATCAGAAGATTTTAGACTTGATCCTGGCTAGGTTACCTGAGATTGATGCTCCAAAGAAAAGGTTTCCTGCGACTGGAGGATTAAGCGCAGGGGTAACTCTATAGGCTATTATATAATTGGTAAGAAAAAAAGAAAAAAATTGCACCATGGAGCTGAATAATACTGCTCATGTATTCCAATCAATCAATCAAATTTCTTGGAAGCAATGTATGCATTGTTGAACGAAACCCTTAAAGTTGACTTTGGGGAGGGTAAATCATACCCTTTGAAGTGTGGTGTGAGTGTAAGTTCTTTTCCTGAGAACTCCTCTCCTTCCTTCACCTTTAATAGCATTACTGCCTCCCATGGGTCTTGGGCTCCGAACCGCATTACTGCCTCCCATGGGTCTTGGGCTCCGAACCAACTTCCCGCCACTCTTAGCCCATTTATAATCTTCCTTCTCTGTCTTTGTTCTTTCATTGTCTTTTCAAGTCATAGTCTCTTTTTTTCTAGTTTTTTTTTTCAACACTTTAGACTCATCTTATTCGTGGTCCTCCTCTCTTTCTTTGCACTAGAACTTCACTTTTTCTTGCAAATGGTCTGAGAAAAAATCCTTTTTCCTCCAAACCCTTGAGAATATTTCAATAATTACAATATTGAATAGTACAATGTACAAAATATAAAATAAACTGTACTTGTGTCTTTGATCAAGCAAGTATTGACGAAATATGGAATTTGGACACCATAGATTCATCCATCTTTTTTTCTTCTGAAATGGTTATTTTCATCAAAAGGAGGAAAAAAGACACTGGCCAAAACTAAGTTTCAAAACATAACAGATTCCCAAGAAAATCTATTAATTTTTTTGTCCCAAGATACTGATCTTAATATCTTTTCAAGGTTGAGCCCAGCTTAAAGTGTGATCGTATTTATTGTCATGTAGGAGGAGCAAGATGGCCAAGATGGTCCTGGAGGTGAAGATGGTCAAGACACCACAAGTGGGACTGCTGGAATGGCCGACAATGCGATGAGTTTTAATCAGCAGGTTTATCGCATTGGTGATTTTGTCTATGCAGAGCCAAAAGAAAGGGGTATGGAGCATATCATCTTGAACATCCAGCGGTTGTGGACGAATCAGGAAGGCCAACAGATGATGTTTGGCTGTCAGTATTTCCGTCCAAATGAGACGTATCACGTTGCAACTCGCAAGTTCCTAGAGAAAGTAAGTCACAAGTTTTTATATGATTGACCCAGTGGCCTGTCCTCAAAACACAGCAACCTGGCAAGTAGAAAAGAGATCTTCTAAAAGAAATGGATGAGAATAAGAATTCTTACTCATGCATAATTGCATTGCTGTAAGGTAGGACTAATCAGTGAATAATGCTCTTTGCTACAGTCTAATGTTTTTGTTGCATTTTGCCGTAAATTTTAAATTGAAATATCAAAATCGAGACCTTCTTCAGTAAAACTGAGGAAAAGTTTCAATAGTTGTCTATTCAGTCATTTGATTGATAGGCCTATCAACCAGTTTTTCTCCCAGAATCGAGAACGAAGTATTGTCTTGTGGGTTATTATCACAACTCTTATCACGCCTAAAGGGCAGTAAGTTTATTTTATTCTATTCTAATGACCAAGATACGAAAAGGAAACCTTACTACTCATGTACCTCAGTCCAATCACTTTCCCAGCAGTGAGGGCTGTCTTCAAAGGAACAGTCATTTGAAGAGTGTTCACATTCTGTTTACCCAGAATTACTGATATGGCTTTGGCTGTACATCTGGAAACTGTGCCCGTTGCTTCAACTCATAGAGCACAAAGAGTCGTAATGTAAGTGGGATAGCTGGCACCACTTTTCAGCAATTTCCAGGTCCCGAATTCCAAGACTCCTGTGCTGCGACAGGTCACTTTTTTCGATACATAATCGTTTGTTTGCGATACTTGGGGACCCTGCCCTAGAATTACTACGTATTCCACACTGTCACTTTGGATCGAATATGTATCGAAAAAGTGACCCGCACTCCAGGCTCGGAACTCGTCAAGCAGAACATGGCGCCACCTCTCCCATTTATATTACGACTCTATGCACTTTATGCTCTAACTATTACCGCGACACTTCGTGTTATGATGCCTCACATTCTTTGTTTTTTAGTTTTAAAAAAATCAAAACTGAGCTTTTTAGGCGCAACTTAATACGGTTTAAAAATCGACCCTAATGAATCCAATTAAAATCTTTTCAGCCCCCCCTCCAACCGCGTCGTGGGGTTTATTTTTTTTTGGGGGGAGGGAGGGTATGAAGGTAGGTTAGTAGGTACGAGGGTAGTTGGGTGAATTCGAAGAAGGGTCAAATTCGACATTCTATTTCCTCCCAAAATTTTTTTGTGAAGTTTTGGGCAAACCAAACTTTATTTTGACTATCATTTGGTGTAGAATTAGGAAATATAGCTCGTCGAGCTTAATAGTTGGGCTTAAACCCGAATTTCCACCGTCAAACGTATCACTTCCCAAAAGAGTGAAGCCAAAAACGACCGTTTTTTGGCACAATTTGGGCCAGCAGGGACTTTTCTGAAACCGGGCCCAAACGATACCTTATGATACCCTAAAATCTGGTAAAAATTTTAGCTTGAGTATACGCACGGTTTTTGAGAAATGAGGGGGCAAAGTTGCCAAATCGCCATCATTCTGGACAGCATTTCGACGGTAAAAAGACGGGGAAAATGGACGAAAAAGTTACACCTTGGATGGGTTTCGGCTGTAAATGTTCTAATTGGGCCCCCAAACATTTCACTGTGTTCAGTTTAAAAAATTTCGGTCGCACAGTGGTTCAAAATGGGGAGAAATCGTCAACAAATCAGGATTCTTTGTCAAACTTTTAGAAATGGAAGTAAAATTGTCGGTCTGCTACAGTTTGAATGGCTAGCAATGTTCTCATCGGTTCTCAATGCATGAAATTGTGTTCAGTTGCACAAATTTACATCGCACAGTGGTCAAAAATGGGGGAATTAGTGGACAAATTAAAATCCTTTGTCAAACTTTTTAAAAATGAAGTGAAACTGTTGGTCCCCAGTAGAGTTCAGATGCTGGAAAAATTCTTTAAATTCATTTTTGACTATTTAAATCTTTCTTTAATTTTTTCTCTCCATTTTTCCTTCTTTTTTTTTAAATTTCTGAAAGTTTGCATATTTTATTGAGATAATGCTACAAAGTCTATTCCATAACAACGTTCTATAAACAATACCGTCTGACATGTAGTAATAATTAAAAAAATTAAAAACATGAATTTTTCCAGGATCTAAACTCTACTGGGGACCAACAGTTTCACTTCATTTTTAAAAAGTTTGACAAAGGATTTTAATTTGTCCACTAATTCCCCCATTTTTGACCACGGTGCGATGTAAATTTGTGCAACTGAACACAATTTCATGCACTGAGAACCGATGAGAACATTGCTAGCCATTCAAACTGTAGCAGACCGACAATTTTACTTCCATTTCTAAAAGTTTGACAAAGAATCCTGATTTGTTGACGATTTCTCCCCATTTTGAACCACTGTGCGACCGAAATTTTTTAAACTGAACACAGTGAAATGTTTGGGGGCCCAATTAGAACATTTACAGCCGAAACCCATCCAAGGTGTAACTTTTTCGTCCATTTTCCCCGTCTTTTTACCGTCGAAATGCTGTCCAGAATGATGGCGATTTGGCAACTTTGCCCCCTCATTTCTCAAAAACCGTGCGTATACTCAAGCTAAAATTTTTACCAGAGTTTTAGGGTATCATAAGGTATCGTTTGGGCCCGGTTTCAGAAAAATCCCCGCTGGCCCAAATTGTGCCACTCTTGGCGTCGCTCTATGCTCTAATTTTGCCTGATTTCCCAAATTTTTATCTCAGGGGTGGCATATAATACGTTTAATTGAAAATTGAACACAATTGTCATAAAAGCATTGTCGAGCACTAAACTAAAGCATCATTGAAAACATGTAACCCTTTCATATCTTGCAGAACTAAAAAAAATTGAGAAAAATTCATCCGCCATGAAAGATATCTAAAGCTTATTCTGCTTGTCTTTTAGACAGTTCCGCCTGTTTATCGAAATGCGCACTATCTTCCTTTAACACGAGAAGAAGCTTTGATTTCTTGGAATATTGCAATACAAAATGGATCAAAAGCACCGAATTTTAAAAATTCGAGTGAGGGTGTACCCGCTGAAGTGGAGATAAAGCCAGGAAGAGTTTGAGGAATTGCATTAACGTATCAATTGCACCGGTCAACGTTTTTTTTTTTTTTTTTTTTCCGAGGATTTGCCAACGGTTTCGGAGTAGATTTTTGGAGCTGATTCTGAAGATCATCTCCACTTACCAGTATCAGTGCGATTTATCCCGGGAAAGTTCCGAATTTTTCCGGAGAAATCGGAATTTTTCTTAAAAATCTAGCTTTTCTAGAAGAGTCAATATTCCGGGAGAAAGTGTGCAAGATGGGAAAAACCTAGAAATTTTTCCGATTTCGTAGCCTAAGATACATAAGGAACCATGTATTGCACCCGAATTAAAATTACCTTTCTTTTCCTAATTCCAAGGTTTTCCCGTCCTGTCTCATTAAAATCAATTAATTAGCCACCGAGATAGTGTTTTAAGCCACGGCCGCCATCTTAGATTTTCGAATCTTGGTTCGACTAAAATTTTCAGTTTCCCGTCAAAAAATATCTATGAGTACCAAGTTTCACTTTAATCGATTGATAAGGTGCTGAGATAGCATTTTAGGCTACGTCAGCCATCTTGGATTCTCAAATTTTGAAAATTCGACTAAAAATTCGAGTTCCCCATTGATAAATACCCTCGGATACCAAGTTTCGAGTAAATCGATTGATTAGGCGATGAGATAGCATTTTAGGCAGCGTCCGCCATCTTGGATTTTCGAATTTTGAAAATTTGACCAAAATTTTCAGTTTCCAGTCAGAAAAAAATCTGTGTGTACCAAGTTTCAGGAACCATGTATTGCACCCCAATTAAAATTTTCTTTCTTTTCCTAATACCAAGGTCTTCCCGTCCTGTCTCATTAAAATCAATTAATTAGTCACCGAGATAGCATTTTAGGCAACGTCCGCCATTTTGGATTTTCGAATTTTGAAAATTTGACCTAAATTTTCAGTTTCCCGTCAGAAAAAAATCTATGTGTACCAAGTTTCACTTTAATCGATTGATAAGGTGCTAAGGGCTAAGGTAGCATTTTAGGCCACGTCCGCCATCTTGGATTCTCAAATTTTGAAAATTCGACTAAAATTTCGAGTTCCCCATTGAAAAATACTCCTGTTTACGAAGTTTGACTTAAATCGGTAGAAAAGAGCGTCTACAGGGCTTAGACAAGCAAGTCTCAATTGTATCAGTTTTCCACCCTGTCCCACTAAACTGGGACACTGGGACAGGATGGAAACATATGAGACCAAATGGAACGGGACAGGATGGAAATAAGCTTTTTTTTAAACTTATCTCTACCATTAAAGGCAATTTTGGTGTTTTTTTTTCCATGGAATATTTAGAAAACATCCTTGAGTTTTGGGATAAGAAAAATTTTTCCCCAATGCACACTTTGAAAGTATTTTACGAGCTGATATTAGTGTGTGTGTATGCTTGATGCCCTGTTAGTTATCGTGTATAGCATTTTGTTTGGCATCATTAATGGCGTTAATCTTGCACAAAAATTTGCGAATTTCAGAATTTTTGCCATCTGCGACGTGTAAACTATTCAACCGAAACAAGAAAAGTCGTTTTTGGAAAAACTTCAACGTTACGGCAATCATTTAGAGGTTGTTACATCGTTGCCATGTCCCTCCTGACTGTTGCTGGGGACGATGCTTCTAGTGCGTGAAAATTTTATTGATGGAGCAAAAAAGAAATTGACCTATTTTTTTTCTCAAATTCAAAAGCATTACCTATCATCTCCGATAAAGTTTTCTCAAATAATCACTCTAGTTCTGCTGCAACATCGATTTAAGGTCAAGAATCAGGCACGGGGGAGTTCAAGCCCAAAACGAAAGTATTCTGTCAAGCTCTCACAAATATGGCCGATATGAAGGTTTTCAGCCCTGAATTGGCTGAAAATTGCTGAAAACGGAGTAAATATCCAATAACTATGGCTGTACTATTTGTTTTTGAAGTTGTGGGGGTGGCAGGGGCAGGAAAAGGCCTTTCTCTTCCCTCATTCCTCTCCCCCGCCCCTCGCTCCCCCCCGCCTTCTTCCATAGAAAACTATTTACACCCATGCATATGCATATGCCTGGGTGTAAATGTTTTTTCATGGAAGGGGGCGGGGGAGGGGAATGAAGGAAGAGAAAAGCCTTTTCCTGCCCCTGCCACCCCACCACTTCAAAAACAAAGAGTACAGCCATAGTTATTGGATATTTTCTCCGTTTTCAGCAATTTTCAGCCAATTCAGGGCTAAAAACCTTCATATCGGCCATATTTTCGAGAGCTCGACAGAATACTTCCGGTTTGGGCCTAAAGTAATGCAATTACATCATACTTCAAGGTTCTTAAGAGAAATTATGAGTGCATCGACTTTCATTCAACTTTGGTTCAAACGAACCGCGCCTCCTTTATGAAAATTTTGTTCAACGTACTTTTTCCCTAAATTTCCATTTTTTTTCTGAGTTACAGGGCACTTGGGGGCATTTTTCGGCAATTTCTACTTGGACTTTATGGACGCCAATATTTTGCGGTTTCCAAAATTCTAAATGCTCCTTGAAAAAGAGATCAATACTTACCTCCTTGTTGATGTGGTATATGACCCTTATCGACCCACATTTATAGGGGCCTAGACCCTCTAAAGACTTCAAGGCTTTGGGGGGCCTCAAATCGATCATTTTGAATAGCAAAGATGTGTTTTGACTTAAAATTCGGATTCTATACAAAAAGTTACGTAGAATGAGCTTGTTAACCTGTTTCTAATTCTTGCATTTTCAGAAACTGCATTGTCTCCTGATCACGCAGTAATTTTTTCAGATTTTTTCGAGCCGTTTTTCCCTCCGAAATCGACTTTTGAAGTTCGAAATTTTAAAATGCCGCGTTTGCCCGCGCTTTAGCGGCAATTCAATATGGCGCCGGAATTACCCCCTGGCTTTCTTGCCACACATTCGACCGGGCGCCGTCAGCGGGACCTCTACGCGTTCGAATATCGAGGCTAATCAAAACAACCAACTGGCTGTTATCAATTTCATCTTTTGACAAAGATTTATCTAGTTTTTGGCATATTTTCTGAACTGTTATTCGTTCAACTAAAATATCTAACCCTGCTTTACGAATATCTCGACCTGCAATCTCCTTGGAACGTTGGAAAATCCGAAAATATTGACCAAATTTGTGCTAGTTTACTTAGTCATTTCAGTGCACTGAGATACTGAGTTTCCATGGTAGTGAAGTGAATTTGGGAATAATTCTTCTTGAAAATGTTGAGTGCATATGTTTTTGCAATAGTTTTTGTTTAAACTCCAGAAACAACAACAGATCGGCCGGTCAAATCCTGACACTGTTATTGACCATGCCGAAGCTTCATGATGCGAAGCCTCGTGCTTTGTTTCGGGAAGTAAATATTTTGGAGAAAGTTCCTACTTCTCATTTACAGCAATCTAAATAGAATCAGTAATCGAATGTCCTTCCCTTAATGGCTCTCTTTAAAGAAATATCCACAATATATTACATGTAGGTATCACTTGTTTACTCTTAGGAAGCCACCCAAGAATAAATAGCCTTCGACAATTTTCTATTCTGGGACCGTAAACTTATTAAACTGTTCAGTGTTCCATAATTATTAACAGGTATATTGTGAATTGCTAGTAGGTATGTGCCATTCTTTGATAGTTTATCTCAATGCGAGATATAACATCAGTGATTTAATCTCAATTTCTCATCCACTCATTTTCTACGTAATCACATCCTCCACATGACTTTGACTCACTTTGAACCTGATTTTTTTTTGGTAAACAATGGCTCACTATGCTGAGCGTTTTACCAGAAAGTCAGTTTTAAGTTACATTCTTCGACATGGAACTACATACAAATTTTGTGAAGATGCATGCCCTGACTCTGAATAAATGGATGTTATTAAAGATCCTGAAGATGAAAGGTGAGTAGCTAACTACTTTGTAAGTTCCCTTCTCAATTTCAATTACCTAAGTATATGGTTTCTAATGGCGGATAGTAAGAGTCGTCCAGAAAGTAAGTTTACCTGTTAAATACTTCCTAAATGAAGATAGGTAGAGACAATCTGTAATAAGCTTTGAAAAGTCACTACCCTGGTTCTCTAATACGCTGTAGATTTTTAAATTTGGCTTGATAGAACTCTAGAAAAGTGGGATTTTCTGAACCCACCTCCTCTCCGCATGAGTTCAAAATTAGCGATAGACACGGTGGCTCCTTTGCGAATGAGGCTCTGTAAAATTTTGGACCTGTGCGGAGAGGAGGTGGATTCAGAAAAAGCCACTTTTCTAGAGTTCTATCAAGCCAAATTTAAAAATCTATGGCGCGTTAGAGAGCCCAGAGTATTGGCTTTTTTAAAGTTTATTACAGATATTCTCGAAGTACCTATCTCAGTTTAGGAGATATTGAACAGGTAAACTCATCTCTGGACGATCCTCGTGGTTGTTCTTCCCTCTTTCTTGCAAATTCTTTATTGAAATGAAATACATAAGGCTCTTTATCCTTGAAATATCATTATGAAAAAGCAACTGAATTAAAGATTGAGACAAAAAAAAGATAATGGTGACAGTAAAATGAGGTGAGAAAATCTACCAACTGGAGGCATCCACTTTAAAATATTGCAATCACATGAATTTGTTGGCTAGCGTATCCATCTACATAATTGATTTTAAGGGTTTTCATGGGTGTGCTGAAGGAAAATCTAGACAAATTTTCTTCGACTCATAATTTGATCAGTACCTAGACATTTCTGCTGTGAAATGGAGACCTCAGGTTTCCATGTCAATCCAGTGATAAGAGAATACCTTGGTGTGCCTTCGAATTAACACTTGCTACATTTTTTGTGATTTTCAATTACTGGATATTACATTCATTGCACATTGCAAACATTTTTTATGAGAAAACTACATATGTTCCAAAGAATTTAAAACAAGTCATGTGCACGTTGGAGCAAATTTACTCCTGTTCTAGTTTGAACATTATTGGTACGTACCTTTCAATTTCAGGATTTAACGGCTTTTGCCGAAGGGTCTGTTGGTGCCGGCACACACAGTTCCAGGGTAGAATGGAGATCCATGTCGAAGAAAATTCCTTTGAACTGATTTTTTAGTAAATAAATGCTCAGATAACTGAAGCATAATTTACTACACTATCAGACTTCAAAGGGAGTTGGTCGAGGAAGTATTCACAACAGCAAAGGAAAGATTATGTGGATATACAAGTAGAGGTACTTAATGAGCAAATATACAGATTACTGACTTTAACACTCGCAAGAAAGGAGGAAAAATCTTAGAGTAAGTGCTTGGTATCAGATGTTCTAGCAGCATAAAGCCCGTCCAATGTGAAGATTGTTTGATTACCCAATGGTTGCAAGTGCAAGAATCTATGTATGACCGCAGAAAATGTATCATTAGAAGAACACTTATAAGTATATTTTGAATAACACAAACACTGTAAAAATCGTGTGCAATGTTAACCCCAACACCGAAAACACGGTGATTTCAACTGAAAAACCAAGCCTTTAGATACTTAAGTGATAGGGACACACACATATAACTAACACAGTTTTGGAAGCTATTTCCGGATTTTCCAACGTTTCAAGGAGATTGCAGGTCGAGATATTCGTAAAGCAGGGTTAGATATTTTAGTTGAACAAATAACAGTTCAGAAAATATGCCAAAAACTAGAGAAATCTTTGTCAGAAGATGAAATTGATAACAGCCAGTTGGTTGTTTTGATTAGCCTCGATATTCGAACGCGTAGAGGTCCCGCTGACGGCGCCCGGTCGAATGTGTGGCAAGAAAGCCAGGGGGTAATTCCGGCGCCATATTGAATTGCCGCTAAAGCGCGGGCAAACGCGGCATTTTAAAATTTCAAACTTCAAAAGTCGATTTCGGAGGGAAAAACGGCTCGAAAAAATCTGAAAAAATTACTGCGTGATCAGGAGACAATGCAGTTTTTGAAAATGCAAGAATTAGAAACAGGTTAACAAGCTCATTGCTACGGCATATCACCTCTTTCCCCAAATTACCTCAAGACTCCTCTTTTCTTTGAAGAGCCATGTATTTTTGGAGAGGAAAAGTGTCACTGGTTAATGTGGGACAAATAGCCCATATGCCATATTAATTCCATTTAACTTATTGCGTAGAATCCAAATTTAAAGTCAAACAATACTCTTGCTTTTTGAAACTTTCGACTTATGGCCCCTCCATAGAATAACAAATGGCTTCGCTATAAGATATGCCACGGGGAGGAATCCACAACGGGTCTCCGAATGACCTTGAAATGGTTGATAGGCTGGGTGAACCGAGCTGAGCCAAGGAAATATGAACTGGGCAGAGGATGGTGAATCGAGATTCATAACAAACAATAACGACATGGTTAACCGAGATCGTTCAAGGTCATTGAAAACGCTATTCTATTGAAGAGATTGTCGTGGCCCCTCTTATAGCGTCAGCTAGTTATTATTCTATGGCCCCTCAAAGCCCCAAAATTTTCTGGGGGTTGTGGCCTTCATAAATTTGAGTCAACAAAGGTCATGTGGCACATCAACAAAAAGGTACCAATCTCTTCTTTCAGGAGATTTCTAGATTTTGATAATTTTATATCTAAGACGCCCACAGCACATCATCTTCAATTGGATGCTGCTTATTTTGTAGGCTTGAAGTGGTATCATTTTCCGTCTAATGTTTTCTTCAATATTTAAACATGTACTTGGTTAAGTTTTGTTTGTGAGCCATCAAATTCTACAATTGAAAAATTCATACTGTAACAGTAGCCCATCCTAATGAATGACAATATTGATGCTATTTTCTTCTGTGTAGGAAGTCTTTCGCTCCGACCAAAGCATTGCCATCCCGCTGTACCAAATTCGTGGGCGGTGCGCTGTACTGAATATCAAAGATTATTTGAAATTCAAACCTGATGGTTTTGAGGAAAAAGATGTCTATGTTTGCGAGTCACGCTATTCAACAAGAGCCAGAGCTTTTAAAAAGTTCAAAACCAGTGTGAGTATCATTTTGGTGCCTGTGAAACATTTTCACCTTAACTTACAGAATCTATTGCTCCACTACTTTGTTTCCGTTTTCGTGTTTTTTTTTGCATTAATTGTACCTTTATCAGTGTTTCAATATACCTGGGTATTTACTATCGCAGGTAAATACCTAAGTATTTCTCCACATATTTGTCCAGATATGTACATACGAAATGGGAGAACGAGGGGGCTGACAGGACATACAGAATCATGTGCACAGGAAGTTTCACAAAAGTATGCAAGAAGAAAAGTATCGCCACTTAGAATGATAGCATTTCTTGCAAGCGGCATGACGCCCTTGAAGCTTAATCAGTCTTCACCTATAAGTTCTTACTTCTGAGATTTTTCAAGCAAGATGTAACTGCTGATTATTAGTCGCTGCAAGAGGAAAGTAAAATGACGGAATTGAGAAAAATGTATATGCCGATGATACACTCTTGGCATTTGAATCAGAAGTCAAGGCTTTTCTACTAAAAGAATCAGAAAGCACCTCTAAACAGCTAAAAAAAAAGACTGAAAAAGGAAAAATTAAGTATGGAAGAAAATAAGACAGAGGCACTGATTCTAGCCGGTAAAAAAGAAGACTCCAAACGAAAATAAAAATAGATGTAACAGAAATAGAAACTAAAGAAATCCTGAAATACTTAAGTTTTTTCATCACAAAAAATCTAAATTTTAATAAACATCTGGAACTCGCATGCAAAAAATTAAATAAAACTGCTAACTATTACAGACAGTTTCTCCCCAATACTCCAGGCCCCTCTTTTCACAAATGTAAAATTATTTTTCACTCCTTGCTCTCTTTTTTTTTTATGACTTTTTTATCCGGCGTCCCCCCTATCGAACTACTTACGGAATTAAAACTAAGAATAGCAAGAAAAGTAAATAGAGCAGAAGTAGAACAAGAAATCATAGAGAGATGGAAGAGAAAATGGGAAAGAGAGGAAGAAAATAGATGGATAAAAACTTTAATCACAGACTTTGACGCCTGGTTGGATAGGGCCCACAGATATCCCGACTTTTACATCACCCATTTCTTGTCCGGACACGGATCCTATGGCAGCTACTTAGCCAAAAGGAAACTAGTTGATTCTCCCTTGTGCTCCTGCGGTGAAATGGATATACTAGAACATGCCTTTTTTACTGTATATTAGTTAAGGAAAATTTAGATAAGCTAGGAAAAGAATTAAAATAAAAGATAGTTAAGAATAATATATTAGATTTAATGCTTAGGAATAATAAAACATTGGCAAATAGCATACAATTATATTAAAGACACATTAGATACTAAGAACAAATTCTATGAGGAAAAAACTAATATTGTAAATAAAGTTAATAATTCTCACCTCGATGCAATCCTGCACGTGGTTCCGGGGCACCTTCACAACATTAAATTTAGATTAACTAGTTAAAGTACAGATAATTTTATATGCGCAATTGTTAGACCCATTAGTTTAATACTAGAATACCATAACTGATAATCTTGATAGTAATGTTACTACAGCAGGGCGATAGCTACGTCTATGGACAGATTCCGTCCCATTCTTTGTAGGGTCAGTTGGGGTAATCCCGGATGTGCATCATGGAGGTAGTAATATTGAGGTTACGGAATTTTTGTACCAGTATATTATTACCAACGTTCAGTTGGTCACCCTGATTGATTTGGTTCTCATTTTTTGTTTGTTTACAAGTGATAATGGGAGTTACCGTGAGGTTGTGAAAGAAGAATCAAATTTCAAAACGCATAGCTTCCCTCCTAAGTGTTATAGGTAAGAAAAAATATCTTTATATTCAACAACCATTATTTCTTTAAGTTGTTCTGTTTGTGAATAACCAATTTTGTCTGTTCTTCGAATGATCAATGAACCTCTGTCCAGATTGAGGTGAAACCGGAATTACTCCATTGGAAAAACATTGGTTGGGTATTTCCGTTTATTCGAGATGTTTTTCCGATGGGATGTTTCCGGTTTCGCCTCAATCTGGACAGAGGTTCATTGATCATTCGAAAAACAGACAAAATTGGTTATTCATAAATAGAACAACTTATAGAAAAAATGGTAGTTGAATATAGAGATAGTTTCTTTTACCTTTAACACTTTGGAGGGAAGTTATGCGATTCTTCACGGTAAGTCCCGTTATCACTTGTAAACAAACAAAAAATGAGAACCAAATCACTCAGGGTGACCAACTAAACGTTGGTAACAATATACTAGCGCCAAAATTCTCTAACCTCAACATTACGACCTCCATGATGCCCATCCGGAATTACCCCATTGCGGGTGGGGTAGTTCCGTATGCAACGGGGTAATTCCGGACGCTGTAAAATAATTCACCAAAAAATTTTGACAACATTTTTTTTAACAAAAACTAGCTTAACTAGCTCTCCACAATATGAGGAGCTGGCTGATTCAAAAAAATGTTGAATTCAATCAGTTTGACCAGTCCAAACCAAAGGTCAAAGTACAAATTAGGTTTCAAGTGTCAAAATCGTCTGGAATTACCCCAACTGACCCTTTATTTGTCATGTAATATATATCGAATAAAGATAGAAGGGGAATGTCCCGGATATTAAAAAAAATAGAAAAAAAAAAGGGAAGTAAGACATTATTACGTAAAGCATAAGGCATAAATAGCTTGCATTGGAGCCTTGCGCTACATTCCTTGTTGACCTCAATTTGAAAGGTTGCATCTACTTTTTCTTCTCCTCCTTCAAGGGTCATCCAAAAATTGAGGTTCCCTACTTTGTAATGAAAAAAGAAAAATCAAGTCGGTAAAAAAGCACGTACTTAGCACATTCTAAGCTTTAAAACTAGCTCAAGTTTTCCGAAATGGGCACAGGGATTCGCGAAATCACTCGATTTACTGAGTCAACCTCTGATCACTGGGTGCCCACCTCCGGCGTTCTGGATATGCAGGATGCGAGGCATTTAAAAGTTTATATTGAGTAGACCTTACTTCTCTTTTGATGTAGTCTCCACCTCTGTCTAGTAGACATTGCTGATACCTGTTGTTGTAGCAGCTCCTTGATGCCCTCCGCACAGAAGCTCCTGTCCTGGCACCAATACCGGTTATTAACGGAGATCTGCACTGCTGAATTAGTTGCAAACCGTTTTCCGCCGAGGGAGTTTTTCGCTTGGGGCAAAATCAGGAGAGTACGGAGGAGGGGAGAAAAGAGCCTCGCCAAGTTTAGCCCCTTTTTTTTTATACCCGAGTTGGTCAACAGGACAAGGCTCAAACGAAAGCTTATGGTAAGGCAAACTTCCATGCAAAGTTCCAACTTGAAGTGACCCCTCGTTTAGGCTGTACAACGTTGCCAATTTTCAAGTTTCATGTGCTAAAATCAAGGATATTGGACTATTAGTCCGGTGCGTAAGTAGAATAGTACACCCGAGTTGGTCAACGGGACAAGGCTCAAACGAAAGCTTATGGTAAGGCAAACTTCCATGCAAAGTTTCAACTTGAAGTGAAACCTCGTTTAGGCTGTACAGCGTTGCCAATTTTCCATGATGAACCATGATGATTCAGTATTTCGTGAGTATAGCGGATAAAAATGAAAAATTGGCGACGCTGTACAGCCTAAACAAGGTTTCACTTCAAGTTGAAACTTTTCCTGGAAGTTTGCCTTACCATAGGCTTTCGTTTGAGCCTTGTCTCGTTGACCAACTCGGGTATACTAGTCTGTTGAACCATTATGAATCCAGTATTCCTTGAGTATAGCGCATAAAAATGGAAAATTTGCAACGCTGTACAGCCTAAGCGAGGTTTCACTTCAAGTTGAAACTTTGCATGGAAGTTTGCCTTACCATAAGCTTTCGTTTGAGCCTTGTCTCGTTGACCAACTCGGGTATACTAGTCTGTTGAACCATGATGATTCAGTATTTCCTGAGTATAGCGCATCAAAATGAAAAATTGGCGACGCTTTACAGCCTAAACGAGGTTTCACTTCAAGTTGAAACTTTTCCTGGAAGTTTGCCTTACCATAAGCTTTCGTTTGAGCCTTGTCTCGTTGACCAACTCTGGTGCACTAGTCTACTTATGCACCGGACTAATAGTCCAATATCCTTGATTTTAGCACATGAAACTGGAAAATTGGCCACGCTGTACAGCCTAAACGAGGTTTCACTTCAAGTTGAAACTTTGCATGGAAGTTTGCCTTATCATAGGCTTTCATTTGAGCCTTGTCCCGTTGACCAACTCGGGTTTAAAAAAAGGGGCTAAAAAACACCACTTTTTGGCGAGGCTCTTTCCCATGCAAAACGGCTTGCAACTGATTCGGAAGTGCAACTTGTGTTCAACTTGCTGTAATTTTTAGCTGATGCTTAGCCGAGTAATCTCAATTTCGTTGGTCCAAAGTAGCTTTTCAGAAAGCAATTTTTTTTTTGCAGACCAGAAAAAGGAAGTAAAGTTGTAAGAAGGGAAAATAGAAGGAAACGAAAAAGTAATTGAACTAATAGAGTCTTTTGCATTACATCAGTTATGGATTATTTTTTCTTTTCACCATCATTTTCTTCTTTGTCGTGTATTTTGAAATTGTGACCGAAAAATTATCGAATAACAAAGAAACAGAAGAGTCAGTTGAATATTCTGAAACATTTGGTAGGGCTGTGCGAGCCTGGTTTTTTGGATTCGAGCCGAGTTCGAGTATTTTTTCACTAAGTCGAGCCGAGTTCGAGCTTTTTCGAGCTTTGAAAATGACCCTCGAGCCGAGTCGAGCTCGAGTCGAGTTCGAGTAATTTCGAGTTTTAAAACGTGATTTAATCTATTTTCTACAACAAATAATTTCAAACAAGACTCATAATATGATATTAATAATTATTGGCGATGACACACTAGGAAGGATTTACACTAAACTTACAAAATGTTCGGCAGTAACGCGTTAAAATAACTTCCCGCGGTTTAATTTTGAAAAGAGGACAAAACTTGGCAAGAAGCGGCGTGGCGCGGCGTACATGAAAGGAACTTCGGGCGGCACAAGTAAAGGCTTTAGAGCCCATTTATGCACGCAATTCGTGTCGCCGGCGGCAGTTGTCGCCGCGACGTTTTTTGGAATCGCGCGACTCCTATTTTTGTAGCCGCAGCACCTTTTTTCTGCCGCCGCGACACCGTTTTTCTGGAGCGCAAAAGGTCCAAAACACGTGCTCACTTTCAGTTTTCCAAGCGGCGGTCGCCGCCGCAGGTTGAAATTTGTCGCGCGCATAAATGCGCTCATATGACTCCGTGTAGTTACAAACCGCGCGCGCGGCAGGAAATCGCCGGGCGGTAGCGTGTTGGCGCTGCGGATGGTAGAAATTTGCCGACGAGACTCTGATGTTATTCAATCGTAAAATGATGGCAAAACTAACAATAGTTTAAGTATGATTGAAATGTTTGGAAGTTGGACTCTTTCGGCGTTTCCGGCTCAAAAAAACTCGAAATACTCGAAAAAACTCGTGTTGTTGACACTCGAGCCGAGTTCGAGTACTCGCTCGAACCTAACCTAACTTTCGAGCTGAGTCGAGTACTCGATACTCGGCTCGACTCGACTCGAAATTCGAGTACTCGCACAGCCCTACTTCAAATGAAAAGCTCCTTTGTATTCGAGTTTTGGTCATAGGACTTCTCAACTTCACTTTTTGAATTTTTTCAGAGCTGGAATTTTGGAACATCTTACAAGTTGATGGAAAGAGAGGAACTATTTGAACCCAAGAGAGTCATGAATGTTTTCCGAGACCGAATAGAAAAGCATAAAGAAGAAATTGCAGAACTTGAAGAGAGAGAAAAAGTTTTGGAAAAAGAAAAGCCAGTAAGTAATTTTTAGTTGTTGGCCAGTGTGTCCAATTAATGGTAAAATTATTTCAGATCATTCGTGTTAAATTGTCTATGACTCTTCCTTTGTCTAGCCTTTTGTCAGAGGAACACTATTCTAGCGCCAACTGTCAATCATTTGAGCTGACTGTAATGCTTCCAGTACCTAAGCGAATAGAAATACCTTTAAAAAAATATCTTAAAATTACTATTCAATCTTGCATGTATACGAGGTATGATCCATTAAAAATCGAACTTTGGCCATTGCGGGCCAACGGATGACCGGATTGACGTTTTCTTGGGTTAATCTGATTGGTGATAAACTGACAAACACGCTGGTCTCTACGAATTTCAATTATCTTAACCAGTTCGAATTTTACAGCCGTTTGATTCAGGTGTGTCCAAGTGCGTTTTGTGATTTTGAGAAATGCGTGAGCTTTTAGAGGAATCTCTGTCCCTTAAGAGGAATTTTAAGTTTCAGAAACAGAAAAAAGTCTGCTGGAGCAAGATCAGGAGAGTACGGAGGGTGTGGAAGGATGCTCATCCCGGTTTTTGTGCAAAATTTGCGAATTTGCAACGCGGAATGGGCTGAGGCATTATCATGAAGGAGAGACCACGAATTGTCGGATCACATTTCCGGTCTTTTGCGACGGACATTTTCACAATGTCTACGAAGCACATCATTGTAGTAGTAACGGTTTACGGTCTGATTTTTCCGCAAAAATTCATGGTGAATGACAACGCGCGAATCGAAGAAAACTGTCAACAAAACTTGTTTTCGAGTGACTTTGGCCTTTTTTGGGCCTCGGGGCACCTTTTTCCAGCTACTGAGATGACTGGGCCTTGGTTTCATCATCATAACTATAGACCCAAGTTTCATCACCGGTGACAATTTTACTTTAAAAATCTGCATCAGCATTTGAGCGGTCCAGCAGCTGTTGGCAGATGAAAACGCGCTTTTCTTCTAGCGCTTGGATTAACAACTTGGGAATTCACTTCGTAGAAACTCTACGCATGTTCAAATTTTGGGTTGAAATTCTCTGAACGGACCCAAAAGAAATATTCAGTTCCTCTGAAAGCTCACGAATGGTTAAACGGTCGTCGGTTTGCACTTTTTCGCGAACTTGATTCATGTGAATCTCGTCAGTTGACGTCCTGGGTTTGACTTCATGAACCTCATCTTCCACCGATTCCTGACCGTTTTTAAATCTCTTAAACCATTCGTAACACTGAGTCCGACTTAAACACTTATCTTTTTAAACTCTCGTTAACAGTGCAAAAGTTTCGGAAAACGTTTTACCCAACTTAGAACAAAATTTAATGTTACACCGTTGTTCTAAAAGCTCACGCATTTCTCAAAATCGCAACACGCACTTGAACACACCTGAATCAAGCGGCTGTAAAATTCGAACTAGTTAAGATAATTGAAATCTGTAAAAAGCAGCGTGTTTGTCAGTTTATCAGCAATCAGATAAACCCAAGAAAACCCAGATCCGGTCATTGGTTGGCCCGCAATGGCCAAAGTTCGGTTTCTAATGGATCATACCTCGTAAAATAGTGAACAATACTGTCTCATTGGGCTGGGTTTGAGGTCAAGTATCTCTAAACAATTTTTTTTTTTTTTTTGCAAAATGCTGGAGAGACAAAGATTTATCTCATGCTAAACATAAAAATCAACTCCCATGCCAGATACTACTCACAGTTTCCAGTTAATTTTGATTAAACAAAAAAGTCAAAAACAGATAACTTTTTCTATTTTATTTCCTCTATTTTAAATGTGTTATTTTTGTTTGTAGTGATAGAACTGATCTTTCTTTTTGGCTAAGTATACAGAAAATTTGCTTCTCGAGTTCTTCCATGAGATGATCTTCTTTTATTCGTCAGGAATGTTGTCTCAAGATTCAAAGAGAGCTCATGAGTCTTGAATGTGTTTATCTTTTGGTAACAAAAGTTTTCTGCATGATAGCGTGTGCTCTCAGTGCACTAACTCCCCCTATTTTTTGTTTACGTAAAATATTATCACTGTTCTTCTAAAACATTATCCAGTTCAAAAATTTGAATATTGCTCCAAGTGGTGTATTTAAGATGTCAAATATCAAGTAAATTTATTTCTTTTTGTAGAATGTTATTGCTTCCAACCAACCAATAACTGCTGCAGAAGGTCAGGTATTTTATGAACAGTATAACACCCCATCTTGTATCATCAAACTGGGTGACTGTGTTTATTTGAAGACTGATAGTAGCACAAGGCCACTTATTTGCCAAGTCGACTCAATTTGGACTAACAAGAGGTAAGACTTGAGGAAGCATGCATTTTCTTTTCTGCTCCTACGTTACATCCTCACAGCTTTGAAGTAGCTGAGAGTTAAATATTTATGACCCTTTACAGGAAAAAAGGACCTGATAGTGATTTGTCCTCTTTTTTGTTTTAGTTTTACTTTGGTACCAAGGTCCGTTTTCCTGTGAATGATAACATTTTCTGCATGGGTGAATTTTTAAGTAAGTTTACCCATTTCATATCCCTAAATTTATTTATTTTTTTTTCAAAAAGTTTTATTTATTGTAACCTCCAATTAGAGGAAACATATACAAATATCATAAGTTAGAAATAATGTATGGTAAAGCAACGACTGGTTAATTGCTTATTATCATAAAATTAAAGAAACTAAACCTAAGATTTAATTAAGATCAAAAGTACTTTCATAAAAATCAAATGGGTGAGATGAGTGAAGATCTGATGTAGTGAGAAGATTGTCTTTAAAGATGAGAAATAAGTTATACAAGTTGTTTAAAAATCGGAATTAGCGTTAGTGACAAGCCCCCAAGGCTTTTTCCTCCTAAGTTTCGTAGTTTCGTTTGGATGACAATGTAGCCTGTCTTCGTATCTTTGCGAAATTTTTTGAATATATTTATAAATAGATTCTATCCCTAAGTCTCTATGGATGTCCTTATTAGTCTCATACCTTTGGGCACCACACAATTTCCTTAATATTTTAGACTGCATTGATTGCAATGATTTTAAACTAGTTTTGGGGGCACAGCCCCAAATTTGGCAACCGTAAGCCCAAGTGGGTCTTATAATTTGCTTCCTCAATTTATTGACGATAAAAAAAAAAACCAAACCAACTTTAAAACGACTATATTCTCAGCTTTCTAACAAACTATGTGTTTTAAAATTTGGTACAAGTTGTGGGAAGTAATGATTGATTTTCCACACCCACCTCATAGTCAAACCTGCCCACTTTCTCCATGCCATATGCTTTAAGTGAAAACGTAAAAGTGATTCTGTGAAGAAGCATATGCAATAATTCTTAACTTCTGCGTTACTGCTAAACCGATCGCCACCAAGATGCTGTTTTAACTCTTGAGAAAGCTGAAAATTACTCGGACGCGGTAGTTTCTGTTAGTGTCAACAACTGACTGCTGGATAGAGAGAAGGAGCTTTATGAAACCGGGTTGAAGAAGTCGCTACACCGTTTTCAAAAATTCAAGGATGAGTAGGTGGCTGCAGCAAAAAGCAAGGTAAAAAGTCTTCAATCAGTTTCACAAGTTAACACCGAAAGAATAAATTGCTTTTACTTCTTAATGGGCTTACACGTACATTTTCTCTTAACCCCTACAACATGGTGAAAGTTGGCATGTCTGGACCTGAGGTGGGTATGGAAAATCTGTCATTACTTTTCACAACTTGCACCAAATTTTAAAACATATAGCTTGTTAGAAAGCTGAGAATATGTTTGTTCTATAGCTGTTCTGGTTTTCTTTCTAACATAAACAGTTTTAAAAATATTAAATGGGTAAACTTACTGAAAAATCCACCCTTGTATTTATGATAGAACAATCAAACTACAATTTGCAAGTAGGAATTAGTATCTCTGGCTCTTTTTGAAGACAACGTTTATGCAATTAATATCTTCTTCTTTTTTTTTTTTTTTTTTTAATGAACTAGAAACACTAGTTCTTACTGGGCTAGATGTGAATCTTAGCATTCCCATGCACATTTCCGAACCCAAAGTTTTGGCAAAACACGATTCGTGATGGGGAAATTATTGAAATTGACTCGTAATTGAGGTATTTAATTTTTTAGTTTACATCGGTTACATGAATTTTGAAGGCTTTGCTCACATGGGAAACAATGGTCCACTGGAATCAAATTGCACACTACCATAGTTTTTTGGCAGGTCTCCCGATCGAGCAATATCTCTTCCCCATCTTGTGTTGTTTGAAGTGTTGACAATGAGGAGCAGCTGGGCAGAAGCATTGAGATTAACTTTGTCATATTTTCATACTGCCGAAACCATTTCTGTAATGTTTAGTGCGGGGTTTGACTTGCATAGGTTTTTGGTTTTTCATGAATGGGAGATTCAAATTAAGGCATCAAAAAGGGGGAAATACCTAAGTTGGGAGCTGATCTCATTAATATTTGTCACTTGAATCGTAATCTTAGTGAAATTTTGAAGAGGAAACGTTTATCAGAATCCTATAATTCGCACTTTGTCTAGTGGTCCATTGAAAAACTTTGTTTAAGCGGGGTAAATCTGGTAGCTCCTTGGATTAGAAGAAATCATTAATGAAATATCCTTCTCTTGAAAAGATAATATACACTCACCGAAGGACTTTAGTGCAGCTGAATTTTAAATTAATCTACACAGCGATCCTTATAACCTCCTGAGCAAATTAAAATAAAAAAATTATACTTTTATGTGCCATTTTTGAAAATCGCCCGACTGAAATGTGGATTATTCTGAATTTTCTAGTGTAAATGTTGTAACTACGCATGGTGCTCCTGAAGGAGGTGTTACTCGAAGTTGGTCGTGACTTAAAAATTTGATCTGGAAAGTTAAGAGGAGCACCACCAGATACTAAAAATCACAATTTCGAAATCAGAATAGGAGCTCCTGGAGAAATAATCACGATTTAATGGTTCTTCCGGCTTTTTTCAGAAAATGGCTCATGCAGGGCACCTAAATTCCCCTCCCCCCAGCTCCATTTCTTCTTGGATTGATCTGAATTTTTAGTATGTTACTTCCTAATATGAGGTTACAATTTCCTAAAATTTGAATGGCCGGAAAATATTTTCTCCTCTCGTTGCAACGTTGGTTAAGTTTTCAACTTGAAAATTTTGGGTTTGGAGGTAACACGATGGCATTGGCCCATGTCTTGATGAATTAATCTGAATTTTTAGTGGTTTTTTTCATTGGCTTGATTGGCGTCCATTCAATAATAATATGATACGCTATCAGTTCGTACATATGGACTCGTAGGACTAACCATAACTTTCTTCGTGATTCGGCAAGATACAGCAACGTATCGGTCAAAATTGTAAAATTATGTATGAGGAAACTTACCTCCTGGATCTCGGAAGCAGATGGTTGAATGGGAAGACTGCACTCTGTAAGTGTTTAGTAAATTCTACAAACCTTCACCCCCCCCCCCGAAACCCTTTTAAAATTACTACTGCATTTAAAAAAATGAGACCCTTAGAAATAGAATACATCTGGTCTCCAGAGAAGTACATTCTTTCTAGAATATTAAGGAAATTAAGATGGAATTAATTTTGAAGTCGGCTTTGCTTCGAAAAAGTGAAAACAAAATTTTATTCCCTCTATGATGAAAATGAATAAGTGAAAAAATCTGCCAAAACAAAAACCTGCTTGAAAGTTCGGGACTCGCCTCCCGTCTGAAGAGGGATCGGAGGGCCTGAATCTAGGACTCTCCACCACATTAAAAACCTCAGCAATTTATGAAAAACTAAAACTCACTTATTCAAAGATGAAATGAAGACAAATGTAAAGGACCCTGCAAACCTCTTATGGGAAGCTGCACCATGAAGAAACCTTAATTGTTTTTAACCATTCGATTCTCCTCAAGATGCTGATGAAGAGTTATCATTACGCCAACTTTCTACAATGCACCATTTTCGCAAAAAACGGCCGAGAAGATTCAATTATTCGGCGATGAAAAGCCAGAAAGATTCCTCATTTCAGCACTTAAGTGAACGAAATCAGGGGAACTCCCGCACTAAGTCGCAGTCTTATCTCGGATTCCGCACGCCGTTTTGCTCGACCATCCAAATCAGATTCTTGAGGAGCACATACAGATAAGAAGACGGACACGCGCTACGTTTTTTACTTATTTACATCCGGCCTGTTCTCGAATGCTTTGTTCTTTTTTGTTCATTGTCTGAAGATGCAGTATAGGTACATTCATCCGGAATGAAAATAGTAAAACGGCAACATTGCAATCTTACAGTTTTGAAGGGACAAATTATTGAAAAATTTCGTAAAATACCCATACTTATCAAAAGATCTGCAAGGCATCCTGCCCGAACGCCATCATTTTATGGTCAAATCCATAATTTTGAAGTTAGAAACTTGGCACCGTCGAGTTGGGAGTAAAAAAATTATCTAGTCATGAAAATTTCAGGGAATTGGCTACTTATACGGAAAAATAACATAGTTACTAAAAACTCAGATCAAGACATGGGCCAATGCCATCGTGTTACCTCTAAACTCAGAATTTTCAAGTTGAAAACTTGACAACTTTGCAAGGAGAGAAAAAAATATTTTCCGGCCATGAAAATTTTAGGAAATTGTAACCTCATATTAGAGAATAACATACTAAAAATTCAGACCAATCCAAGAAGCAGCGGGCTAGTGTCTTAATTTTTTTCGCCAAATCCATAATTTTGAAGTTTGAAACTTTGCAACGTTGTAACAGGAGCAAAAAAATGTTCTCGGTCTTGGAAATTTCAGGAAAGTCGTACGTCATACCAGAGAATAACATACTAAAAATTCAGATCAATCCAAGAAGAAATGTAGCAAGGGGGGGGGATTTAGTTGCCCTGCATGAGCCTATTTTCTGAAAAAAGCCTGAAGAACCATAAAATCGCGATTATTTCTCCAGGAGCTCCAACAACCGATTTCGAAATTGTGGTTTTTAGTATCTGCTGGTGCTCCTCTTGACTTTCCAGATCAAATTTTTAAGTCACGACCAACTTCGAGTAAATCCCCCTTCAGGAGCACTGTGTACGGGTCTGGATTGGTCGCGGACTGCGGGGTCAGTGAGTTCCTCTTTCTTTTTCTCACTGATATCTGGAAGAAGGGACCAGGTTGCGGGTACACATCTCCCAACTCATGGCTCCGCCCACCTACCATAATGCACACCAAAATGCTTCTAGCACGGAGGTTAAGAGCATTGCTCAGGTAGATAAAAATCGCCAATTCCTGAACAAGGAAAAGTGAAGGCAAAAAAGGTCAGTAAAAAAAAAACTGTTGACTTTGACCAATCCACACAGTTTCGTCATTTGCATATATTTTTTTGCATATGTGTATCAAATTTTTTAAAGGTTTATTTTTTATCTTACAGTGGAGACGCAATGTTTCATGGACCATGGATCGTTTTGCCCAGCGACATACCCCACGCCCCATCTCGCCTGTTCTATAAGCAAGAAGTGTTTATCAGCACTCTGGAAGACACAAATGCTGTGGCCAATATTATTGGAAAGTGCGCTGTCTTGGAACATGCAGAATACATCTCATGTTAGTTGCAAGTATTTTTTTATTTATTTATTTAAGAATTTCACAATGGAATGTGTTCAGCATATCGATTCTTCACTATATTTACTTGTAGAAATGAAAATGCCATGGAGTCGATGTATTGATTCGTTATATTCATTTTATATTGAGCATCGGAGGTATTTCAGGATTGAAATCTGCTAGTTTCGATTCACATAAGAGTCAATAATCCTTGTAAGATCGGAAAAACCAATGCAACAAATCGATGCATCAGCCACGGGCTTCTAGTCTTTGTGCAAATATGTTCAGCATATCAATATTTCACTATTTTCATACGTAGAATTGAAATTTTATGTCTGGGAGTGGATGTATTGATTTGCTATATTGATTTTTTCCGATCTTACACAGATTATTAACTCTTGCGTGAATCGATAAATCTAATTTCCAACCCAAAAAACCACCAATGTTCAGCGTAAAATCAATATAACGAATGGATACATCAACTTTTTGACATAAAACTTCAATTCTACATGTAAAAATAACGAAGTATCGATATCCTGAACATATTTGCGGTATGACTAGCAGCCTGTGGCAACATCCATTTAACAAGGAAATGGCATATATTAGGTAGGATTTTAGTTCCATCCCCCCCCCCTCCCTGGTAACTTGTAAACCATTCCTATTTTCGTCTCGAAATTTTTCTCTGAGCTTTCGGTCATTATGAGCTCCCATTTTGAACTCTGTTCCAAGGCCAAATCAACTGCCCCAAAAGCCAGTCATTTTTTGGATAGCTCCATGGAAAATTTCAGCTATTTTCAGCTGTGAGGTGTAGTTTTAGGCCTGTAAAATTTACAATATGCCTAAAATCGGTGGTATTAGTGTTTGAGTACTCTACACAACCACATCTAATAAACCTAGGCATCACAACTATCAAGGAAACTTCTTTTCAACAATATAACTGAACTTCATATTGGTAATTTTCCTATTTTAGCCCTGAAATACCCTTAAATCAACTTCGGTCTCCAGCAGCTGAACAGATTAGTTTTCTACTTGGCTCAAATGACTCGGTAGACACTCTACTTCATGAATCTGAAGAGTTTTTGCTTTTGACTCATTCAAGAATTTAAACTCGTTCAGGCAAACCGTTCCGGGAGAATGTTACATGTGATATCGCACAATGTGGCCACTTTGAAAGGGGAAGGGATATTTTAAAAGTGCCAAGGTAAATTTTCTTTTCTTTTTCGTCGTGTACTACAAAAAGTGTGCTACTTCAGAAGATTTCAAAGCCGCAGCAACATTTTAAAGGTAGAAAAAAGGCACACCGTGCGGGGAAATCGTTAAAAAAAAATTGGCAAAACGTTAGGATGTGGCGACTTTGAGGGGGAGAAAAGGGCATTTTATAAAGGGACAAAATAAATTATATTATTTTTCTTGCACAATACCCTCTAAAGTGTGTTACTTCAAAAAATTTTAAAGCCATAACAACATCTTAAAGGGAGGACAAAATTCGCGAAATGACGGTAAACCGCAATTGTTCATTTGAAGTTCCCTTTTGGAGACTTGTCGGCCAAGGCGGCGGCTTAGCCACTTAGGATAATCTGATCCGGCTGAAATTTTTGTACGTTCACTTTACACCATAAGACAACTTTAGGGGGGGGGGGGCAGACATTTGATTTTCGAAAAGTTGAATAATAAGAACCACCCCAGTGGTCCGTGACAGAATTCCAGACTGTTATCGAAAGTTTTTTAAAAGAATGCTTACCAATTTAACACAGTCTCTCAAATCTCTCTTATGTACACTGGATTTCTGAGGACCAGCAAATACAGGGTGTCCTAGATCACCCATACCAGGCTTTTTTCTTGGTTGATTCAGGTCGTTTGAAGTCGGTGACCGCAGGACTGAATAGGGAATCGACCATAAAAGATCCGAATTCATAGTCTCGAACTCCCAGCCGCCCTCGAGGGGTAAAGGGGGGTTTACGATTTTATTAGTCGGGGTTCTCGATATAATTGCGATTCGATTGCATTAAAATTGGAAAGGACGAAAATTTCACGTGAAATCGACCCCAAAAATTCCCAAACGGTCCACTTTAGGCTGTTAATTGAACCCCGAAAGAGTTAGACAGAGGCCTTCTCCATAGTTGCCTTTTAGTCTCAAAATTTACGTACATTCTCCGGAAAAAGATGGTACTCCGGGTAATCGACCCCATAGAATCCGGTTTTAATGGCCCCTGAAGCTCCTCTAGCTCCCCTTGCGGGGTAAACGGGGGGGGGGGGGGGGGGAGCATAATTCCAAGAGTTGGGGTTCCCTTCCGAGTCACGAATTGACGGCATCCAAATTGAAAATTGCGACTAAGTTAAACTGTACTTAATTGACACCTGAGTGTTCAAATTGATCCCCTTAATCCCCTTATCTGTGTGCCGGGTCGAGCCAACGGTGGGGGTTTAGCCCGCCGCTTAAATCCTTGGGTGGGGGCGGTCGTTAAGTGACTCCTCTTAAACAGGCCCACGAGGTTACTTATGGAGTAGATCGTCCCCCGTAGCTGGGAATGGCGTCGCCAAGGCCCACAAACATCACCCGCGCACTCAGATTTTGATCCCCTTAATGCTCAAAAGTATCCCCCTGAAGAGGGGGCACCCGGTTTAAGGGATCATTTTTTGGCCTAAAGTGGACCGATATTGGATTTTTCTCTGTCCTTTTCAATTTTAATGCAACCGAACCGCAATTCTCTCGGGAACCCCGACTTTAAGAATAGTATCCCCCTTTTTACATCCCAAGGGGGGGGGGGGGTCGGTACTATAAAATTCGGATCTCTTGTGATTGATTCCCTATTTAGTACTGCGGTTCGCGGCTTCTTACCACTTAAACCAAAGGAGAAAAAGGCCTAGTACGGGTGGTTTGGGACACTCTGTACAAGGTCTGTCCAGAAAGTATCCGACCTTGTTGATTATCTCGTCATCAACGGTTGACAAGAGGTTGGGGCTTGGGATTATTTTTGCAGGGACTCTCCTGAGTGCAGGTGCACAGCCGTATTATCACACGTTGAATCAGTCGTTGGTAATTTGCTGATTAGTGCGTGCTGTTCTGCTCTGATTGTCGGATTTCGTTTTTCCTAAAAAAGAAGAAGGTGAGGAGAGTAAGGTGGGAAGATTTCGTGAAGAAGATAATCACAGGGGACGTGTCTTGGGTCTACGGGTATGACCCTGAGGCACAATTGCAATCGTCAGTTTGGATTGCAACTGGGAGACCTCGCCCGTTGAAAGCTCGGAAGAGTCGCAGCAATGTGAAGACAATGTTGACTGTCTTCTTCGATCATGAAGGTGTGTCCATCATGAAAACGCTCCCCATGGCCCCTAGAGCTACATAAAGTTTCTCGGTAGCTCTCTTTATTCATACTAGAGCTTTGGGAGCGTATTCATGATAGACGACACCTTTATGAACGAAGAAGACAGTCAACATTGTCTTCACATTGATGCGACTCTTCCGAGCTTTCTACAGGCGAGGTCTCCCAGTTGCGATCAAAACTGATGATTGCAATTTTGTCTGAGGGTCGTACCTGTAGACCCAAGACGCGTCCCCTGTGATCATCTTCTTCACAAAATCTTCCCACTCCACTCTCCTCAACTTCTTTTTTTTTCAGGAAAAACGAAATCCGACGATCATAGCAGATTAGCACGCACCAATCAGCTAATTACCATCGACTGATTCAACGTGTGATAATCTGGCTGTGCACCTGCACTCAAGAGAGTCCTTGCAAAAATACTCCCAAGCCCCAACCTCTTATCGAGATAATCAACAAGGTCTGATACTTTCCGGATAGACCTTGTATATCTGTCAATCCATATTCAAGGATTGTGGTGAAAACAAACGGAAATCATGAAAAGTTATTGAATATTGTTCTTTTGTTTGGAAAATTGGGTTGCTAGAAAGGAAGCAAGAAGAAAGAAGGAGCAATGCACATTATTGAGACATTAGTTGCCTAAGCAGAATCGTTTTTTTTTTTTTTTTTTTTTTAAAAAAAAA